AAAGTTTACCAAAATAATCAGTTAATAAATATCGACAACCATCTTCATCAATAGGGCAATAACTTACTATGGAAGCTTCATCCTATAATAAAAAGTAAAGAATATGTTTAAAATAAGATATTAGAAACTATACCCATTGATAAAACGCACGAAATATTAACAATGTAAAGATGCTAGCGAGAACCCGTGCACACTGCACGGATGCTTTTTTCCTGAAAAGTTTCACATCTGTCCTTTAGCCTTGATTCGGTAATAGAGAATCAGACAGTTCGCATTATATATATCGAGAGACCTTATAGCCTTATACCCTTGAGGTCTTACACCTTTGTAACCTTATACTCTTATAGTATTACCTCTTATAACCTTATTCCGTTATTCTTTTATTCCTTATATTTCATGCAGGCTCATCTACTTATCTGCTATACCCTTATCTCTTTATTTTCTTTTAGTTTTATTCCTTATGTCCCTGTAGCCTTAGCCTCTTATCCCTTCACCCTTATAGCCCTTGAAGACCTATGGGTATCCCAGTATAGCAGCACTTATAGCCTTCCCCGTATAGCCTTATTTGACCTTTGGTCTGGGCATGGAGACGTCAGACAGGCACTGAACATTATATATATAGATGTACTTAGGACAATCCAAAAGTAGTGAGAGTGATACTATAATTTCTTATAAAAAGTTTTAAGAAACTTTCTCTCTATATAGTCTTCAGGAGAAAAGAATGCTCTATTTTTCTATGTTATTTGTTCATACTTCAACTAATTGAATAATAATAAACTAGAAGATAAGACCTTTTTTTTCTATCATATAGGACAGTTATACTAATGCCAATTTAGTAGATATTTTTTGGATAACTTTTGATAGAGAGAAGATGGAGAGCTATAGTTTTCATCATTACACAGAGAAGATGAAGATGCATCGAATCATATATTATAGATTTTTTGATATGACTTTTTTAAAGGTTTTTAACAGACCTATTTGAACGCAAGTCTACTCAGTGAGATATTTACAGTCAGGTGTGTATTCAAATCGCTAATGGAAGGTCTACAAAGCTGCACAATGTTCAGATGTTTAGAATTAATCATTCAGGAGGGTGTAAGTATTCTAGTCAAAGGTTTAAGTGATTTTTCTGACAAGTTCTGTAAAAAATTGTTTTTCCTTTCCTTTTTGATAAGAAACCATTTTTCACACACTTAGAAAATTGATTAAACAAAGATCAGACAATGTACTAGAAGAATTGTATAACATTATTGAAAATATTTTTCACAAAAAAAAACAAAAGACAATAATTCGACGTTTCGATGATCTATATCATCATTTTCAAAATTTATTAAGATCTTAGAAGATATGATGCAGTGGTGTAACTAGAGAGTCTTCACCTTTTCTTCACATTTCCAAAAAAACTAAGCTTTTATTCTATTATATAGCAAATGAAGCTGTTAGCGTAATCCCTACGTGATTAAAATGTGAAACACAATGTAGCTGATGTTACTAATCATAGGGAGAGCGATATGTGATGTCTAACCGTATATCAGTATCTGTGACGTTTCCATGGATACATCTGGGAAGAAGAGGGTCCATACTTTTCTCCCTATACTTCAACACTCCTTTCATAATAATTAAATGAATACAAATAAATTACATCGAGTAAAGATGATTCAATTTCTAATGGTCGATCATTTTCTTTATATAATGCCACAACATTTCTTCCTATAACAAGACAACTAAAAATATCTTGTCCAACTAAAATAAAAAACAAAAAAAGAAAAGTCATGTATCAAACACATAAATCTCGAAAAAACAAAATTTTGTAATTTTAATTTACTTGGAATAAGAAATGATGCTTCACTTAATGTCATATCTTGTTTCCAAGTTAATTTTGTAATATCTTTTTCTTTTAATTCAACTTGATATGTACGTATATGATATTCTTCTGGATCACGATTGATTGTTGATGTATCAGTTGTACGCTAATATGAAAAAAAAAAAACAAAATGAAAATATTATAATTCAAATAAGAATATTTTTACTGGATGTAAAACAATAAATGTTGGTTTTTGATGTCCAGGTAAAAATTGTATATCAACAATATTTTGTTCATCAATTCTAAATTAAAATTTTTTTTTTTTTAATTTTAATGATTTGTTTTTTTTTGTCTACATACTTAACATTATAAGCTTCTAAATTTTTTGATGATGATTCTTTTGAAGATAATTCTTTTATATAAATTAATTTAATAACACCTTCAAATATACGTAATAAAATAAGACCATGTTTAGCATCAATTGTACATAATGGTTGTCGAACAGGTTGTCGACCAGTATCCTAAAAAACAAAAAATATAATATTAATTTATAATTAAATTAATTTTCAATAATTTACTTTTAATAATCCATGACATTTAGTTAATATATCATATTGATCATGATTTGTTTTTCGACAATCTAAGATCATTCCATGACATTTCTCAGTAAAAATAAATAGAACATCTTTATTCATATTCTATATTAAACAAAACAAAAAAAAGAAGAAAATATACACATAGAAATTTTCATATTTATAAATATTAAAATTTCTTACAGATAAACGAAAACATTTAAGTACAGTAATTTTTCCATAAATACAAACATCTTTAACTAATTTAAGACCTTCCGAACTAATAACATAAATTTCAAAATGTGTATTTTTAGCAACAATTAAATTAAAATCTGTTGACGATGTAAAATGACCTGTTGTTAAAGCTGTTATCGCTGTTGGTCGTTGAACTGTAACAACATAATTCATTGCAGCCATTTGAGAAATTCGGTAGATTTCTTTTTTTTTTTTACAGTTTATTTTGTATTCATAATAATCAACAGATGACTGACTTTTTTATGATTGGTAACAGATCAAAACTAATAAGAAAATATATGACAGAGGGCACTAATGTTATTATGCAATTGTAACATATATGAAAATCAAACGTGGTACAACTGCAGAAGAACCACACTCTCTATATTAAATGATCTAATTGGGAGAGCACATAAAAGAATGTGAGTGCCGCGGTGTCGTTCTTGTGCAGTTGTACCGTGGGTATTTAAAAATTTGAGCTTCGTCATGCCCTGCATCTTGAGATGCTCTTTCAAACAAAAATAAAAAATAATTTTTAATATATTGGACAGGTCTGGATCGAGAAAGTTGGGATGCCAAATCACCTATTTGTCGCCCTTGTTTGATCAATATCTCCCTTTCGGATTGAAAATATTATCATAGCTTTCTCATTTCAGCCCCAACATATCCTCCATTTTTCAGGCCATTTGGATATTTCTGGGCTGAGATCATTTTTGGAGGGAAGGGGGGGGGGGGAAGGCTTTATTCTTTATGAATATTTCATTTGTTCGATTGTCAATGAATTTAAGTAAAAGCTGCTGGTTTTTTAAAAAAGTATTTCTCCTTAACTTTGAGGTGTGAGTCTTTTGCTACTAGAAATGAAACAATTTTTGTTTTTTTTTGGAAGAGATTATCCATCGTTTCCTGAACAAGCAGATTCAAGTTACTTATTTTGAATAGCTTTGTGGTTGTAGAGATGTCCATCATGAATGAAAGCCTACTGTTGCTGTGCCACAATTGTATTCGAAAAAAAAATGTTTCGAATTTCACTGTTGTCACTGTATTGAACTAGAACTATTGTTACTCACTTTTGAGATTCATCGAGTCTCAGAGTCGAGTAGTCAATGACTTTTACTAAATTAGATCATATCAAGTCGTAACAGGTACAACAACTCATTTCAAATTATATCGACCAGTGTATCTATGTGTGTCATCTAACACTAAATCTATTAATTAATAATCAAAAAATTTTATACAGAAATCCGAAAGTATCATTTATGTCAAATTATTGTCTATTAATTGAATGAGTAGCAGTAAACTTATCTATTATTGAACTTCTATCCAACTATCGTTGAACGATACATGTCTCATATGATAACTTCATATTTAAAATCATGAGCACGTGTGCAGATTCTGACAACACAGAGATGATAATATGATTTATTATATAACTAGTAACACACTATACAATTTGTATGTTTCTATTAGTTAATAATATTTGAGAAATTAAAAACAGACGTTATATGATTTTTCTTAGTGAGTAATATACACAATATGTTAAAAACTACAAGAATATAAAATAATTTTAATCAACTTGAAGTCATTGATAGAATATGAGATGATTGTTGTTTATTTTTGTTCACGAATAACGTTAATCGTGTGGCATTACTATATTCTACCTCAGGTTTTCATATAATGAAAAAAAAAAGAGAGTATTGTTGTATGATACGAACATTCCTATTCTAAGGTAGAAAACAGTAAAGTGGTCCCGGTCCCATCGGAACCAAATTTTAATTTTAACGGGATCAGGACTGAGACTCTAAACTTGCTAAAATTGGTTGTGTTATATTTTCTGCTCAAGAACTAGACTACATATTTTCATAGTTATTACTTTGTTCTGACCAATGATCTAGAAATTGACCCTTTTTATTTATGATTGAGATAAAATTATGGATCTGCAAAATCAATTTTTTCGATCCGGAACCGGAACCATCTTGAAGACTTCTATTAAAAATAGTAGTCATAGTGTTCTGCAGATTCTAAATTTTGATATTATCAAAGTGACTCTTAAGGGAACACCGATATAAATTCATTTATTTAGATTTTATATCTATGCAAGAAATGTAAGCTCTGAGAGAATTTTCTAAGTCATACGGCCAGAGTCAAGGAAAATCTTAAGTGAAATACAGAAGTAGCCTTGTGTTTTAATTTTGGATGTGGGTGTCTCCTTTTCAATCACATCCAATCCATACCCAGATACTTCATCTAAAATGCCGAGAAATAGAAAATATACTTATAATTTCATCTGTAGTAGTAAATTTTATTCATATCAATAGGTTAGAAAAAAAAAGAATAAACTTTTTGATTTTTTTTTTAAAATAACAACAACCAAACTACAGGATAAAAATACACTATACTCGTTTCAGTATATTCAATTGTCTAGGATTAATCGGTCCACCAATCCACATGTTGTCTGTATTTACATTTTCAACAGTTTTGACAGCTGTTTTCAAGTAAAGTCCATTTTTGCTACCATAAAAAACTTCTGCATCTCTCAAAGTACGTACAACTTTCACCAAATGAGCATCTTCGGCTAATTCGGTATTTACTGATCGTTCGATAACATAATTCCAATTCTGCTTGCTATCATCAATTTTGTAATCATAAATAAGTTCTTGATTAATCTCAGGTCGAAGTTGACAAATGTAGAGCATACTAGCGATATAAAAGAATTGCCAAAGAATATGTTCAGCAAGTTGTCGATCATTTATATGTGGATATATTATACGAATAGCATGCATTGATGTGAGTAAATGAAGAAGGAAAAAATCGAAATCAATTTGATTTGGTTTATGTGTAGCACCATAAAGATAAACGCTAAAATCGAATAGATCTTCAATAGTTTTTTCCAGATTGTTTATGTTAATCTGCCATTGATCGAAGTAGGTTAGAACAATATCGATCGATTGTTTTACGCTTGGCTCTAGATTGCCAACACCTGGCGCGTCAAATAGTGGCAATCGATTATCAGAACGAAGATCTTTGAAGATTTCCAGAATCGATTTTGAGCCAGCTTTGGGTGGCTTCAATTTGTCAATAAATTCATGATGATAGTTATAGCATACTGCAGTTAGTGTTAATGCTTCAGAAGCTACTATTCGACTATCCAATTCGAATGCATAGCCAATATGAATGAGAGGATGAGCCAAACCACTGACTACGCTGTTGATCATTGGCTCTGGCTTGTTGTCTAGCAATAATTCCCAGAACTTCTGTTGCCAATTGTTTCCACTAACTGTTAATTCTTGATCGAAGAAATCTCGATATGCCTTGCAGAAGCGTTCATCACCGAGTGAGTGTCGCCAATTGCTGCTAGTAATTTCGTGTGGTGATGCTTCGTATGGAGCAACTACTTTACACATGAGTTTGTAGAGCTGTTCGAGTCTGTCATCAGTGGCACCCAAGAAGTAGAGAGATGCTAAATGATGTGCGATATGCGTGTGAAAACCGCGATGATCAAGAACTTGATAATGACCATATTCATCTGCCAGCAACTTGTCAAGTACAGCACGACTCATCGAAAATGAATGAATGTAGAAAGTAACGTTTGTCAATTGTTAGCTTTATGGTGTATATTTATAAGTCCGTGCAATATTCTGCATCGTCATCGTCTTTGTTTTTTCTTCTCGTTCTCTTCATACGGCATTTTTATGTTGTGCAGATAAAGAAAGAAAATAAAACACTGCCTTTTTTTTCTTCTTTCCTTTGATTCTTTTTGCCCGATGTGCTTATGCTGACATTAGTCGTTTCTTTCTAGTTTGTAATTGATCCGATGACAAAGCATTTGTAGTGAACTTTCAATCAAAACTAAATAGAGATACCATGCTTACATTTAATCGAAGTATATCAAATGAATTTTATATGGTCACAATGATAAAATTTGATATACTGTTTATCTAGTTCTTTAGGTTTTTTTTCAATAAAAAGGGAGTTTCACACAAAAGATGGCACTGTAGTGTTACTATGAATAGAGACATTCAATACGATAGGTTCATCTTAGCTAGAGCCCAACATGATTAAGTTTTTTTTTATCACAATCACGATCATGATTGTAACCGTTGTGACTCACGAAAATTCTTTTCATCGATCATTTACAGTAGGTACGAAGTTGAATAATATAATTCTAGTGATAAAGATGATGATAATATACTATAGTCAATGAAAGGAAAGTGAAGAAAACTTTTCTCATCAAACTATTTGAGAGTGAACAGATTAGTGTGAGTCTTGTCTTCACCCACACCCACAACTGAACCAAGTGATTACACGAACGACGGCAAATCAACTGACTACACGATCGTTACTAATAAACACAATGACTACATCGATCTTTGTTGCAATGCCTTTATTACCTATAGTTCTTTTCATGAATATCATTAATCTGATCAAAAAATATTCACAAAAAATATTTCAGTCAACTATATTGAAGTGCAATGAACATTAACAAATAACGTTTTCAAATGAAAATTGAACATTGAAAATATTGATTAAATGTCAACGTGAAAGAAACACATCATTAGTGTTAGATAATTAGATATTGACATTCGTTTTATCGAAATATTATGCGCACTTGCCAAATTCCAACTGCTCGATAGTAACAAAAATTTTGAGAGAAGAAAAGAAAACATAGTGGAATGCACACATTAAAATAAAGTGTGTTGCACTTATGTATCGCAATTAGAATATGTTGTGTTTTGTCTGTTGCCTATCTATTCACCGTTCTATTTTGCACACATAGCTACATATCAGACAAAAGTTGTAACGGAAAAATGGAATTAAAATGATCGAAAACTTAAATAATAATAATAATAATGATGAAAAACTGTTATAAATAGTCCTAAAAATGCCTGGTGTGTTAGGCATTAAAATGATTCAACGTTAACACAGAATAATGTAGACAAATCAAATTATTTTTTGTGACAGTTTTTCACCATTATTTTTATTTCGTTTCGAGCCATTTTAATCTAATTTTTCCGTTACAATTTCTGTCTAGAGATATCATCCATCATTTACCGAGACATTTGTCAAATTAACAGTCCAAAATAAATAATTTTCTAACATAACTTTTTCTCACTTTTATGATTAAGTTCTTGTATAGGTATTTCTTTCGATGTTACTTTTTCTAATTGAAAAAATGTACGAATTCGTTCCAAATTGAATAGTTCAATGTGGAACCAATTCATACATTCTCTTAGTTAAGAAAAGATAGCATCGAAAGAAATATCTATGCAAGAACTTGATCATAAAAGTGAGAAAAAGTTATATTAGAAAATTGTTTATCTTGAACTGTTGATTTGAAGAGTATCTTGGAAAATGATGGATGACGTTTTTATTAAAAAAATATTTTGTGGAGAGTTAAAAGGCAAATCTATTGTAAAACAATTAAGTTTAAAAAAATGAATTTAAAAGAAAACACATCCTTTTTTCCTCAGTATAGATCGCGCTGGTCTTTGCATGACAACTCTATTCAATCATCTAAAGAACAATCTATTCCATTAATCAATTAGAGTCATTACTATTGTTTCGTAAACATTTGATGAAACTGAGTGCATAACTTAAAATATTATTATTTTTTGACTATTTCCATAATGTGTTTTAATTGTCTAATCCTATCATAACCTTGTCAGAAGTGTTCTAACTGATACCTTGCATCAATTTCTTATAAATAAAACCTCTTTTCGTGATCTGTTTTAAATTGTATATTTTCTCTATTCTTTGGCGCAATAATAATAGAATGAAATACTCAAAACTAGAGGGTGGATGTGGGTGTGGGGTGTGGGGTGTGACGTTGTTTTCCACATCCACATCCACATCCACATACCCACATCCACCCACCCACACCCACCCACACCCTCAAGTCAAAATTCGAAAGTACAGCTTTGCTGCAAAAGTGAGGTGCCACAGAGAAAATTCACTAAAAACTTGATATCTCGCCAGAAACACGCCATGGGCACGAACCCTTTTAGAGTTTTCTTAGTCTCACTGAGTCCTACTAGTAGCCAAAATATGGGCTCGAACGGCGTCTGACAGTTGAATATGTTCCCTCGTCAGACACCAATAAGAGGTTTTCGAAGGTGACAAAACCGAAAGGCAATACGAGACTTCAAAACATAGCAGTGATAAGATGGATTTCACCACTTTGTCATATGTCACGGCACCAACAAGATAGAAAATATGGTTACCTCTCCTTTGTTGAAATGCATTTTACTATTTCGATCATATTGATATAAGCCTAAACAATAAGTGCGGGAATACCATTATCAATGTGTAACGCACGGGCAGAATCCTGTGACTAGATTTTTATCTTTTCATTTATTTACAACGCAGAATTCCATTGATGATAGATGTGATTTTCACTCTCAGTTTTATCCACACCTACCGACACACTAGCAAGTTAAGACGATTATGTGACACTAGAAGACTCTAATATCCTTACTTTCGGCTATTTTGAAAAAATAAAGCGACGATATTAAATAATTATTCTATTGATACTGAATAAAGAAAGGTACGAAAAATGTTTAATTTTGCGGCTAATAATAATAATTGGTTTCCAAATCGTTAATAACATATGTTTTTCTTATATACTCAAAGCTGCGACTAAGTCAAGAGTATCAAGATAATATTAAATTATTTTGAAAGTGTAAAATGATTTCAGATCTCGAAAGAAAAACAATGATTCAAATAAAAAGAATACTCCTATGCTAAATACATGAATAGGTTTCAATTAACTAAAAGTCTCTAATCCTGAGCGGGAAAGAAGATCAAAAAAAAAAGAAATTTCGAGCATCGAAAATGTTCTCATCCAAAGTTTTGGGATGATAAAAATCATTCTTTGGACCACTCGAAACATTTTCAAAGCTTCAGAAATTCTTTTGGATATTAAACAAAAGCCCGCAAATGCGTTCTGGCTTTACATTAGATTTTTTTGAGATTCAAGGTTTTTTAAAAACATCTCATCATCTGTGATGAGCCAACGAAAACAGCTTAGGCTATCTAGTGGATTTTTCTAGCAATATTCGTTTCCTGCAATAGCTCAACGATTTCATGGAATACTAAAAAGTTTATGACAGAAACGAAAAGATCTTTCAAAATGTCTCCTGGGTGTTGGCATCGGTATTGTCGAAAACTTACTAATTTTCAAGCCTTCAAAAGCTAAGAAGATATTTTCAGGAACACTTCAATTCTTTGGAAACTTTCTCGAAAACTTCTAAGTTTGCAAAGGGTTATCCAAGTGGATTAGGTGCTTTTAGAAAACAAATCTTTTTAGGGAGTAACTACAAGTATCATTCTTAGGGATGTCAAGTTAGGGATTTTCTTATCATTGTGGTTATTTATTGAAAAACTAATTAAGAAAATATTGGGATATGTCGCACTATTATCAGTATTTGATATGTGATTATAAAGTCAATGCGAGACTTAAAGTATTGCCATTCACTTCACTTTATTTAGAGTAAATAACAATAAAGTGCCACGCCTAGGCCAACATCGTAGAAAAGTCTGTTTTCTCAGAATCTTACAATGGAAAAAAACAGGTGCAGTACCAAATCTTCGAGGCTTCGTACACCTTCACTAATCCCTTTTTGTATCGTAAGACTTTACAGAACCTTCAAAAGGTTTCAGAATCAACTGAGCTTTGTGGAAATCTTAAAAGGATTTTTACTATGCAATGGGTTTCGCCTATAATATTTTCAAAATGTAAAGTGAGGGTGTGGGTGCGTGTGTGCATGTAAGTGTGAGTATGGGTGTGCATGTGTATGTGATTGTCTCTTCTCTTCAGTCACACACCCACACCCAAAATAACAATTAAATTAATGGAAATCTAGTAAATAACTTATGCGTATTGAAAAGAATCCATCACTATCGAGAAAAATATTTCAGAGCACTTTGTACATTAGAATAAGAATAAGGTAACATTTGCATCTTCAATTGAGCATTTGGAATTTGATTCTAAAAATATATAGAGTATTAACATAATTTTATTTAAAAATATATGTACTTGATACAATCCACTAACAACGTACCTATAAAATGAGGAATAAGTTCAATTCGATATGGTTGGGTGTGAGTTGTGGGTAGACATGGCTGTTGCTGTGCCTGTGGGTATGGGTATGGATAGCTTCGGGTGTAGGTTTTGGTGTAGATATTCTCCTGAATTAACTCTACACTCACACCTCCAACCCACACCCACACCCGTTTTGGCTTGTTGTGCTCATTTTTGTCGTACCTTAACTCCTTGTAATACTTGTACACTTCTGCCTGGTCGCTGTAGACTCTGTTGTGATTGTACATTTCTGTCTGATTGTTGTATGTTCTGTTGTATTTGTTGTGCACGTTGGGTTTCTCTTTGCTGTGCTTGTCTTAGTTC